CTGTCGTTGCAGGTATCGGATACTGTAAGCTGGATGCTGCGCGAAACCGTTATGCAACCTGCAGCGTCCAAGCGGTCTTTGCTCGCCCAGATTACCGTTGCCCTGTCCTCGTGTTGTTGCTGGCATCTGGAGAACGGCTATAGGAGATCATAAAGTTCGGTAATCGCGTGCATTGTAACGATATCCTTAGTTTAACTGGGCTACAAATATTATCGACTTCCAAGTCTCTATTCAAGGAATTTAAACGTATCATTTTTCTGATTCCTATTCCGTCCACGCAACCAAGCCTGGGTGAACAACCTCCATTCTAGTTTCAAGGTTCGATTCGAGGCCTTAATCGTTAGAATCGGTAAAGCAGTTTCGGAGGCATTTATCTGTACACCGTTGAACATTTTAATCAATTAGTCCATTAATGAATCGACGATTAATCAATTGTCGCCTTGTAATTATTTTTAAATAACATTAAAAATTGTTAGCTGTGTAGTTATACTTCGTAGTGTACGTTTACAAATTGTATCTTTGGTTGTTCAAAGAGCCAAGGACACGCTTTCCTTCCTCGCGTGGCGTATTATTTTTAGATCTCGTTAAGTGCAAAAGGAAGAAATGACAGTACCGAGTCGGTTTACAAACAAGACGATTCGGGCTTTTCTCGCGACTCGTTGTTTCATTTGTCTAGTCTTTGGACTGTTTTCGACTGCACGTCCGTCCAAAGTTTCCCTTGTGACTTTACGGCATTTCTGAAACGCCTATCTAACGCAAATCTGAAATAATCGGATTTGTTTAATCCATGAGATAAACTCCTAGTCTTCCACTGAAAGTTATTTTATCATTTTTCGTCAATTTCCAGTTTGCTTCGTTCGATCCTGGGGAACCTACTACTAACGTTTTACGCTCTTTATTCTTCATGTTTTAAGGGTTAAAAATACGTGTGGTGCTATAGTTGCGTTGTGCAGTATAGATACTTGGACACAGCGAGGCGAAGAAAAATGAGTCGATGGCGGAAGGATGACTCGGTGGGATTACTTTAACGATGCTCGACCGATCGAGAGTGTTGTGGTTTTAAGCGTGGTAAAAAAATTCATAGCTCTAACGCTTTTTACACCGAGGCGTTAAACACGTCATCGTTTCCAGATGCTTTGGCGAGCATTTTTTCTTGATGCCAGACTTGATACTCGCGCGTGTTTACCGGCCGTTCACCCTCGCGAGTTGTAAATTAATGCGGGTGATGACATTATGTTCACCCTCGCGCACTTCTCCCCGTAAAACAGACCCCCGACTGACTCATCGCCGATGACTTTCTGGCAATTTCCGCCTCGTTTCGTTCAACCCCAGGGGAAGCCACAGAATCGGGGATCAAAATCGATACACGTTTCTACGTAGTTGCGACGATTCAAAAGTAGACGATTAGGATAAATGCTGTGACTTAAAGTAACCATTAATTGAATATTTAGTTGTAAATTATAAAATATTGTTATTCGCAGCCTCTCGCGTGATAGTGCCCAACAAAAAGCTGGGTCTAAACTTATTCAGACAGTATTTCACAGAAACGCTGCGGATAATAAAGTAGCTATTTAATTTGTAGTAGAGAACAGGCTGTATACCGAAGAGTAGCTTCCAATGTGAGCAGCTTGAACGGTTCCCAGAGCACCTTGTACGGCAGAAACGTGTTCCTGACCCGATCTTAATCATCGTTACTGCTTGCAGGCTTATATTGGTTCCTAGCTAGCGCATCGTCTTTCCTGTTTCCTCTTTTTAATACTCTCTGTCTTTAGGGAGTCGTTGGCTGATTCTTTCCATCCAGACTTCCTCTCGCTTTCGCACCGGATCACCTTGGTCCACGGAACTCCCCACCGCCGTGTGACTTCATCTCAACTGCTGCCCACACGACTCCTCGGTTTCTCAAAGGACGATAAATGCATGGATGCAACCTGATGCGCACGTGTCCAGCTCGCGACGCGTTCGACGTGTTTAGGCTTCTGACCCAAATCGAACGACTCGTGTCCGAAACGTCTTAAATAAATATTTTTGGACAAGTGGGGTTCGTGCATCACGAAACTTTCAAATTTGTTCGCTCAGAAAGGAACGGGTTCGGACAGAAACAAGGGCTACGATACTATACGAGTCAAGGATGATGCGAGAGACCGGAGCAGAGACAGATATAAATAGACGGAGTCGAGAAAGAAGCAAAACGAATAGGAACAAATGGGGGGGAAGAGAAAGGAAACGGAAGGTTCGGGCTTAAATGCATCGAAAAGACGAGAGAAAGGAAACCAGAGACAATGGGGCAAACAATAAGGAAAAAGGGAAGCACAAGTTTCGTGGCGTCTCTCGGCCCAGAAGAAATAATGTTAAGATGGACGTGAGATATGAATTAACGTGAAACGCGTGCTGGAAGCAACACTGTTTCAAAATTGAAGCCTTTTCGACCATGGCCAGAGACAGCATAAGGCAAAATTTAAAATTAAATTATCGTTTGGATACAAATTTAGAATATAGAATAAAAAAGATATAAACAAGTCTCGTGAAATACGACCTCGAGATCATTTTTTGTCCATCATATTATGTCTCCCTCTAAACCAAATTATCCTCATTGTGCAGGTGCCAGGTAACACATTTTTCATGCAGATTTTTTTATGAAATCAAATTACGAGCTTTGTTCGGTTAATTTGCCTTAATCGGAACATGGTGCGCTGTATCGAGAATGAAACTTCTCTCGAGCGATACAGTTTGCAGCGTTCGGGATTACGAAATACCGAGTTGCCCAAGATATCCTATGTGTCCGGTAGTTTCTCTTTGTTCCATTGACTGCCTCCAGGATACCCGACTGCGTATACACGTACATGCATTCTCACTTTGCACTATAATTGCGTGCTTCTCGCCGTTGTTTCTCGTTTAATCCGTTACAGTCCTATTTACTTTTTGTGCGAATGATTTTGTGTAATCCTACGTGTAATCTCTGGTTCCGAGTGTCAACAGAGTCTATTGGGCATAATTTCTAATATTATGGAACGTTCAGCGTGTGCTTAAACGGAAGCAATTCAACAGAGTCATGGATCATCACTCAAGGTACAATGGAACGAATGGATCGCGAAGAACGGTGAATGCAACGTTGTACAATTCCGTGTGTTTATAGCGACGTATCAAAGGTATCGGGGGTTAATTGGACGAAAGCATCCCGGCAAACAGAGGAGAAATCGCCACAAGTGCCAATGGAACAAATTCATTGCAGCACTGCGAAATCGATTCACCTGCTGGTTGAGTAATCGAGGATTTACAACGTCGAACAATCGCTGTTGACGTTCCGCGTTCGATCAATGAACAAACAAAGAAAACAGGAAGAGCTCTCGCGGAATCTCTTTTTATTAAGAGCCGTCGGCGTCGCGTCGCGTCGCGTCTGCCGCGTTGTCGACGGCTCGAGGAGTCATTACCATACTTTGGTCGTCTGCTCACCTGCGCACTTTTTGTTCCGTGTGACATAAAGGAGGAGTACAAATGTCGCCAAGCGAGGCGAGGATTAAGCGGAGATGAAGCTTCTTTTGGTTTTGTTTGTCTGCCCGAGTCCCTCCGGCTTGTAACAGAGCGTTGTGTTTAAACTTGACGCACAACTGCTTTTGTTTTTACTTAATAATAATAATAATAGTAGCGATTGATTGCTCAATTTCAAACAATTTTAAAGCCGTGCAGGGACCAAACGCTGAAATATGAATTAACCCCTTAGTATTCGTTTTTAGAAAAATTACACATGACGACATTTATACAAAGGACCTTGTATTAGAGGTCGATGAATTTGTCTAAACGAGTGCTATCGTATTAAGAATAAAAATCTTCCATTTAAAGAAATTAATTTGTTTGTTAAATCTTCCCCACCACTTCACTTGCAACGAAATTATTTACTCCATACAAGTTGTTTACTCGAAACTTTTAAAAGCTCTGTATACATGTACATGTAGTTCAAAGAGGACAAGGATTGACCAAGTTCACAGGCGATCGATCGGAAGTTCTTAATGGCGAGATAGTACACACACGAACGGGTCAGTAAACAGCGACGGACGCTAATTGTCAACTCAATGATAGCAAAAGGATCGATAAATGCGTAAAGGTGAAGCGTAATAATCCAACTCGTTACCCACGAGGATAAACTGAATCTCTGAATGGATTGTGACCCCGTTAACCTTCAATGGAAAGGTCTCAACGAATCTCATTATTACGGGTTCATCGAATCGTCATTTAAGCGTGCAACCGGTGACAAAAATAACTGGTGGCAAGTTTCAAAGGTGAAATGAGGCAGCTCCTATCGGCAATCAAACGGTAGCACGAGAGTGAAACAAAGAGCCGTACACGCAGACGGTGGCTCGTTAATTTCAAAACTGCGAGGATTAGCCACGGTTCAGGCATCTCGCGATATACGTTCTTGTTATTAATTATCATCACCATGAATTCCGTATGGGAGGAAGTTTCTCGCTTTGTCGGCCCAGCGTCATTAGGGTCGTGGCCCCCACCCCCGCTTTTTCTCGCGATTCACGGAATTCCTGTTCTATTTCACACGAGCGACGGACCGACGCGACGCGACGCGGAGCATCGAGAAAGGCGCATTAGGGCTGACGGGAACGGATATTAGAAAATCTCGGAACCGAGCCTTGTTTTTCCATTCGTCGACGTCACCTTCGGGTCTCGGCCTCGATTCCTTCAAGGATAAGGTCTTTCTCTTTCTCTATGTCTACACTGTTGACAATTTTGTCTTTGTGCGTATAAAATTTATAATTTGAATTGAAAAACGAAATATTTGGCAATGAATAAATAGAAAAATAAAAAACAAAATTCACCGTTGTTTAACGTTCTTGAAATTTAACATAAATTTCATGTCATTCGTCATCTAATGTACAAACAAAATTTTGCATGTCTCCGGTTAGGTGCGCGCGATTGCATCGCACTCGCCGACGGTGGTACAAACTCGCCAACTGAATTATCTAGCAAAGGCACAAACAATTAGTCAGACTCACCGAAGATCGAGTCTGATCCTGAACGTCCCCCGATCCCCTAGAAAGGACAGGAGAGTCTTCTTTGGAGAGTTTTTCTTTCTGGCACTGTAAAAACTACCGAGTCGCGAGGCGCGAGGAGCGAGGGTTGAACGAGATTTCACGAGCACGAACTTCACAGACGCGAGCGTGCAAAGGCTCGCTCGGAACTGCGGACCATTGCTGGCGAGCACATCAATGAAGGAACGCCAGTGAGCGGCGCGGCGTCCCTCATTCGTACGTCTCCTGCACGTGCGCGTTCGACACGCACCCGTGCAAAAGGGAGGGAGGTACCAGACCTGAACAAATTTTATTTGAAATGAGTATAAGAAAGACCTATTCCAAATAATTGATTTCGGGCCGTTTTTTCCAATAAAGTTGTATGAAAATAAAAATAATATCTATTAGTTTGAAATAATAGTTTCAAATACTACATTATTTTATTCAAATTTAACAAAAGAAATTGGCTTTTATTTAAAAGTTTTAAGTTATTTAGGAGAAATCAAAACAATCGTACGATTAATTTTTACGTTAAACTCGTTTCATACGGTACAAGGGTGAAAACAACGAATCGATGCGATGCGTTAAGGTATAATCACATTAAGGAAGTACATCGTTTTGCAACTTACACCGTTCACTTTTGTTACGTAGAGGAATCGTGTCGCACGTGTTGGAGTCTATCTGTCGAAAGCTCGGCAAAAGTGGTCGGTCACCTGGTCTTAATCGTCGCTTTCTGTAGCTGGCGGATCGTCTGAAACCGAACAGGATTGTCTCGTTAAAACTTTCGAAAGGCTAACCAAGTGAAAAGCTTCCTCGGAAGTGGATTCTTAGACGCGAATTCTGTCTCTGTTCGTTTCCTTATTCAGCTGCTGATTGTCTTCCCATTGTTCGGAGCACGTTTAGTCTTCCTACCGCTTGATATTCCCTTTCTTCTGCCTTTTTTCTTTTTAATCGCATTACGCTACATTGCACCGTGAAAAACTGTTACGCAAACACATATCTAAAGCGAGCGCTACGTAGACCGAATGCTTCTTACAGAAAATATAAAAGTCTTACACTGTCTATTAAAATTATATAAACACTTCCTCTTAATTAACAAATATAAAGAACGAGAAGACTTCTGTCAGCTTGAATACAATAATTACAATTAAAACCAATACCCTTTTCGCATCCTCCAAACTCGCAGGAATGTATTTTGCATTCGCCGTTTGGGCTAGGCTGCTGTAGTCTCTATATAGGACGTATTGATCCCTCAGCCACCGTTTAATCGCCGTTATTCTCTCTTGCAGTTCAGAAACTTCGAATTGGGATTTTAAGCTGACGTCCGCCAATTCTGTTCGCAAAGAATATTGAATAATTATTCATCGAACCGTATATTTTGTAAAAATTGATTCGACGAATTTAAAAATTTCTCCGAGCCTAATTTTGGGGGAAGTATAAGTGTCGCAGTCAAAGGGTTAATAAAAGAGTGAAAGCAGTGATGCGACGTACCAGGTTTTACGAATGCTGCAATTTTTGGGAACTCGAGCGGTTTGAAAGAAGCCAGCTTGGAAGACGCGATCGCATCTCCGGGGCCGAATTCTAATCGCGTGCGTTCCAATTCCAGCAAGTAATTACGGATGTCCTCGCGTTCTTGCTGCAGCCTCAGGGCAGCAGCTTGCTTTCGCAGACGATGCGATTGTCTGCAGTCGAATCGCGAATGCTTTTCCTCCACTTTCCCGCGGCTCGACGCCGACGGTTTCCTGACTTTCGACGATTTGGATCCTCTTTTCACTTTGTTCCTCTTGTTGCTCCTTTGCTCTTTACTGGATTCCTTCAACTAAAATAATATTGGGAGACGTGGAATCATTTTTGGAGGATTTTAAATTTGTATCGATTAAAATAAGAATTTGTTGCTCAAAAATACATTGGAATTTACAATGGTGATCGTAAAATAAAACTTGGTCTTAAGGAAGGTCACTCGTTACCTGTATAGACTAATCTACATATAAATACAAAAGTATCTCAACTTGAAATTGCATTATTTTAACATTGACATTTATTATTCTCACATTTTCTAGAGAGCCAGTCGCATTATCATCAGCCTCGTCGTTCTCAACTGTCTGATACGCAGCCAATGGCAGCCTTACTATGGTCCCACATTTTTGGCAATTTCTAGATTTATCATGAGCGTTTCTCGGTGTGCGAATGGTCCTGTGTCGCCTAATAATGGCGTCAATCGCATCTCTGTTCAGTTCTCGCAATGTGCACGTGACGTCTGAAGTTTTCGGAGTTTCTCTCAAAAGTACCTTGCTGGAGATGGTATTTGATTCCACGTTTCGTACATCATTCTCTGATGCCCCCCTCTCCATATCAATGGTTTTGATATCGCTTGCTTTCACCAATGTTTCCAATTCTTTTTCGTTCTTTTGCTCCGCGATTTTCCTAAAAGTGTCCCAGAATTATGGCTTAAATAGCAGAAGAAATGAGTAGATAAAAGTAGATACTTTTACTTTAAACACTCTTAAAAAATTAATTTCCAACTTCCGGTTCTTTACACTAATTCTGGGACAGCCTGTATAATAGTTAGTATTAACCCCTTTCTACCAACTACCAAATTATTATCACAGAGTATTTCTTACCCGATCTCTGACAAGTTGTTTTCTCGTAACACGTTATCCTCGTTTTTGTTTTCCTTGTGTTTCGTTAAACTCTCGCGAACAGAAATCACGGGAGATTCATTCTTCTCCTGTGACTCGTCCGTGTTTTCGTTGGACGACTTCCGGTGTCTCTTAATCCTTCGCGGCTGCTTCCGCGGATGCGTCGACGTTGTTTGCTTCGATGTTTTCAAGAGCGTGATCGGCATTACTTGGTCGACGTACTCCGTCGTCTTGACGTAATTCGATAGCTCCTCGTCGAGCTCGATATCACACTCGCTCGTGTTCTGCATTATTTTCGGCGGGACCAGTTCGATGATCTCTTTCACTTTGGACGAACCGTCTCCGAGGCTTTGGGACACAATTTAATTAATGTTTTTCTAAGTAATATCGATGTGGTTCATTTTTGTGAAGAAAGTTAAGGGGGAATAGTGTATCTGTAATTTTCCAAAATCTCGACTCGAATTACCTATCGTCAGTCACAGTCTTCTGCACACTCTCGGTTTGCTTGTGGCTTGTAATCATGATTTGCTTCACACCAGACCTAATCGTAATCCGGACTGGCTTTTCCGTTGATGCCTTCATCGACCGGTTCTCCATAGAACTCAACGAGGCCGTGGAACTGAAATCCTCTTCGAACGTGTCGCTCTCGTATTCCTTCTGCTCCTGTCTCGATGACTCCTTTGATAAATCTCCGACCTCGTTCGTTGCTTTGGACAGCTCTGAGATGATCTCGCTCCTTTCGTCGCTTGTCCCGAGGACTTGGTCTATGGTTACTCCGTCATCCCCAATGTTCCACTTTTTAATGCTGTTTTGCACCATAGGCTCTTGTGACGTGTTTGCCTTTCTGCGGCTTCTTCTTGTCATTGAGTCGACGTCCACCGAATCAATTGCCTCTGAAACTAGAATTCGACCTGTACAACTGAACGCTCCATAAACGTTTCATGTATCATTCAAATAAGGGAAATACTTGAACTTTATTCAATTGAAACTATACATACTTGGTTCGAAATAAATGTTCGTTTTTAATGAAAATAAATATGACAATGCAGTGTGACTGCTCGAAAAAAAGGGGAACCTTGGGGAGGTTTAGACGGAGCGAGCGATATAATACAGTCAGTAGTTGGCCCTTGCCACTGTCCCCACTAGCTTGTAGGTGGCTCGCCAACTCCCGAGCAAAAGTCTCTACAAATATCTCACATTTCCCTTCAACTTTTACTCACCGATGACTGACTGTATTTCAGAACCACCCGAGGTTTCGGAAAGAATAGTAGCAATCGAAGATTGCTCGTTTTTGGCAAGATTCACAGATTCTGGTGTCTGGACTTGAACTTTGTCCTCGGCATGAAAATTATATTCCCTCGAGGTGGAGTTTAGGTTTGAGACGGGTCTGGGTGATTTTTTTCCGGTCGAGATATATCCTTCTTTCAACTGAACATCCGTATCCTCGTCCGCCAGAGAAGTTTTAACGCTGATCGTACAAAAATCCTGAGACGAATTCTTCGGTTCGGATCCAGCTGTACTGTTCGGGACATCGTCGTCTTTTCCGACGAGACTCGGCATCCTCACTTCTATCTTAGACTTACAGTTAGGGGAACTCTGAAATGTGAAATTTTTGTTTCGAGGTTCAACGAAATCTAATATAAACAAATTCGTCGCCTCCCAGTCGATACTAGAGCTGCCGCGTAAAATCCGTTGGTAACCGAAACCGAGAGTCGACTCTCGAGTTCAAACAGTTAAATCTATCGCTACCTTCGACCTGGCTTTATCTCCAGCGTCGGCGGCGACAAACGTCTCAACGATGCCACATTTCTCGTCGTCGGAAATTTTCGAGTCGAATCGAAGGTGTGTCTTCGGTGTGTCTTCGATGGAACTTTCGGTGCTCACGTTACACTGTCCCCGTTTGCTCTCGTTGCACTTAATGTTGTACTTCCTATCCATCTCCTTCAACCGCATCAACGCAGCTGTCGCCTTCGAACCTATCATGTTTACTCTTTTTTTGTATACCACACACACACGTGTATATCTACGTATACGTGTACATCTCCTTTTTATCGAGCCGTTTTTTAAACAGAGGACTCCTCTAGTTTTGACAGCTCTCACTGGTTTCACTTGTAAATTTTCGTGCACGTTGCACTCAGACCGAGGTGAGGTTGCTGGAAGTCGTTGCCAAGGGAACGATTCGTACACAACACCGATCGAAATACGATACGTTCGCTTGGGAGCCGGAACACGTTTCAACGTACACGTACATATATTTTACTTACTTACTAGCGACCGTTATTGGAATTGGTAAGTGGTTTTATCGCCGGAAAACTGGATTTCTGTCGAACCATTTTGTCAAGTATGTAACGTGACGTGTATGTACATATAAGAGGTGAACTGTGGGTAGACAGTGAACAACAACTCTGAACAACAATTTCCTTTGCAAAAATGTTCCGGCTCCTTCCCGACTTTTGGGACACCCTGTATGTATACTAGTCATTAGGTGTATGTGAATCGTGGATTAGGACTCT